AGAATTCATTCATCAAATACGGGGATGACAATTGAAAACTGTGAGCATCTTTTGCAACACACGAACTCCCGGAGGTGTTGGTCACAGACAACGGGCCATCATTTACCAGCAGGAGATTTGAGTATTTTCTAAAGTCGAAATGGCATTTGGTATGTAAGGACAGCGCCATACCATCCATCGACTAACAGCCTGACAGAAAAAGCAGTCCAAACTTTGAAGGCAGGCTTAAAGAAACAGCCTACAGTGTCATTCAATAACAAACTGTCCCAGTGCCTGTTTCGTTATAGGACTATCCCTCATGCAACTACAGGGATAGCTCCAGCAGAGTTGCTAAAGGGGAGAAGACTCTGCACCAGGTTATATCGGATCTTCCCGGACCAGAGAGGGAGGGTGAAACAGCTTCAGGAACACTAATACCCAGACAAGCCTCCTCTTAGCGACAGAGACAGTTTACTTCAGGGGATGAAGTTTAGTAGTGAAACCATGGGAATGGCCCTGCATGGGTAAGAGGCATGGCTGATGCAAGGTCACCTCCCATGACATACAAAGTTTGGGTAGGAGAGGTAGTCCTGAACAAGCACGTGGACCACATGAGAGCAGGAACCTCGCAAAACGGGGCAGGAGCAAAACATTCCTGGCTCCTCAGAACGTCCGGCAAGGCTGTCAGAACCCGTGGGTTCTCCCCCTCCACCTAGCGTTGAAGAAACCTGAGGACAAGATAGACACGGCAAGTGTCGCAGCCTCAACGCTGTTCCGCCTGAAGAAGATGTATTTCTTCTGAGATGCTGTGGGCACAAGGTGAGAACTGGAAGATTTAAAAAGGACATGAGGGACAATTTGTTGACACATAGGGTGGCGAGTGTCTGGAACGGGCTGCCAGATGTCGTGGTCAAGGTGAGTACAATTTGGTCATTTAAGAAACATTTGGAAAGGTGCATGGATGGGATAGGTATGGGGGGATATGGATCAAATGCAGGTAAATGGGACTAATTTAATTGTAAAAAGGAGCAGCTTGGACAAGTTGGGCCAAAGGGCCTGTTTCCATGCTGAAAACCTCTGTGATTGTAAAGATTTACAAAAAATTTACATGCATCTAGAACTTGGCACTTAGCCAGCTAGCCCAGAGCCAGCTCCCAGAGTGAGCAGAACCCCTTGTTGAATGGATTATTGATGGAGGGGTGGGGTATGGGGAAGCAGAGGGGGCACAGATTTAAGGAAAGAGACAAGAGGTTTGGAGAGGATGAGAGGAAACTTCTTTCTTCTACTTGCAGCTCGTATGGGTGATAGAGACAGAAACCCTCATGAAGAAGTATTTAGATGTGCACTATGCGATGCTGTGGCATTCGAGACTATGGGCCAGATGCTGGACATTAGGATGCAAACAGTTAGGTGCTTGCTTTTGATTCATGCAAACTAGATGGCCAAAGAGCTTTGTTTTTCAGGACAGTAGGCCTTAAGGAATCTATTACTCCCCATCCCTATTGATCCTTGATTGTATTAGACATCATCTCAACAAAAAGCTTTCCATAAGCACCTAAAGATTGACCAAACCATTCAGGGCAACTAGCTGTGCACTGCATTTGGTGTTCATGGCAAATTTGATAGATTTTCCCAAATCATGTATCCAACCAGAGTCCTGTTTTACCTTGTGAAACTGAACAAGTGAAGCCTGGCAACTATAGACCGGTGAGTCTGACATCAGTGGTGGGTAAGCTGCTGGGGGGAATTCTGAGGGATAGGATTTACATGCATTGGAAAAGTAATCCCTACTGATTAGGGATAGTCAGCATGGCTTTGTGTGTGGGAAATCATGTGTCACTAACTTGACTGGGTTTTTTAAGAATTTGACCAAGAAGATAGATGAGAGTACAGCGGTAGACATTGTTCTACTGTCTACATGAACTTCAGTGAAGCCTTTGACAAAGTTCTGCATAGTAGACTGGTTAGTCGAGTTAGATCACATGGGATTCTGGGAAAGTTTGCCAATTGGATACAAAATTACCTTTGATGGTGGGAGACAGAGGGTGATGATTGAGGATTGTTTTTGGACTGGAGGCCTGTGACCAGTGGTGTTCCACAGGGTTCAGTGCTGGGCCCACTGTTGTATGTTATTTATATAAATAATTTGGTAGAGAATTTAGGAAGCATAGTTGGTAAGTTTGCAGATGACACCAAAATTGATGGCATAATGCACAGTGAAGAATGCTTTCAACGATTACAAATGGATCTTGATCAATTGGGCTCAGAGGCAGATGGAGTTTAATTTGGATAAATGTGAGGTGTTGCATTTTTGGTAAGATAAACAAGGGCAGGACTCATGCAGTTAATGGTAGGGCCCTGGGGAGTGTTGTTGAACAGAGACCTAGGGGTTCAGGTACATAGTTCTTTAGAAGTTATGTCACAGGTGGACAGAGTGGTAAAGAAGGTGTTTGGCACGCTTGCCTTCATTGCTCATTGAGTATAGGAGTTGGGATGTCATGTTGCTGTTGTGCAGATGTTGCTGAGGCCTCTTTTGGAGTACTCCGCACAGTTCTAGTCGCCCTGTTATAGGAAGGATATTATTAAATTGGAAACAGTGCAGAAAAGATTTACCAGGATGTTGCTGGAAATGGCAGCTTTGATTTAAATGGATAGGCTAAGACATTTTCTCTTGGAGCATAGTAGGTTTAGGGCTGACCTTTATAGTTTGTAAAATTATTAGGGACATAGATAAGGTGAATAGCAAAGATCTTTTAATTCAAAACTAGATGGCACATTTTTAAGAAGTGAGGAGAAAGTTTTAAAAGGGACCTGAAGAGCAAGTTTTTCACACAAGAGTGTGGTTCATATGTGGAATGAAATATCAGAGGAAGTGGTAGATGCAGGTACAATTACACATTTAAAAGACTTTTGGACAAGTACATGAAAAGGAAAGGTTTAGTGGTGTGCAGGCCAAATGCAGGCAAATGGGGATTCTTTAGTTTGGGAAACTTAGTTGGCATGGATAAGTTGGGCCAAAGGGTCTGTTTCCATGCTGTATGACTGTATGACTCTATGTCACTATAACGATTGTTGCTCTGTTTTTCTGTATATTTAACTCTTAAATAAACTACCTTCTTTATGTATATTTTTTGACATTTGGAGGAGCTCTATTTTGTATGAATTGCCATAGTTTTCCAAGCAATAATCTAATTAATCCAAAGACTACAATGGTTCAAGAAGGCAGTCTATCACCACATTCTCCAGGGCAATTAGGGGTAGGCTGTAAATTACCCGTCCCACCAGTGACACACCACATCTCATGAATTTTTTTTATAAGATGGGATAATGATTTCAGACTACATTTTTGAGACCTACAGGCTCTCAAGCAGCAGGACAAGTTTTGCCCCCTCTCTTGAGAAGGAAAGCTCTGCGATGTTGAGTGCTTCCTTTAAAAGCTGTTTGAAATCCATCTTTTCCCAGTCACGTCTGATGCATTTCTTGCACTTCAGCCCTCACCCCATCACCTACCTCCCAGAAGACCCAAGATAATTCTGCTTATTCTTGCCCTCTACCGAACTTGTATTCAAGGGATCATCCTCGGCCATTTTTGCAAACTTCTGGCAGCGTGACCCTACCAGACACATCTTCCCTTTTCCCCTTTGAGCATTTCACGGGGCCTGTTCTCTCTGCATTGTCCAGGTTACTCTTCCATCACTCCCAACATCTCACACTCCCCATGGCATCTTTCTATGCAATTGCAAAAAGTGTTAACACTTGCCCCTTTACCTCCTCCCTCCTCACCTTCCGTTGTTTCAAACACTAAGACCCCCATCCCACCAATTTACTTGTACATCTTTAAATCTGGACTGCTGTATTTGCTTTTTGCAGTGAAGTCTCATCTGCATGGTGAGATCAACCACACCCTATCTGCAAGAATGACCCAGATCTTCTGTTCATTTATCATTTTAATGCACCATCTTGTTCTCATGCAGTGATCCTGCAAACTCCAACTTAAGCTGGATGACGTGCACCTCATTTTCTCTGTAGGCGTTTTGCATCCTTCAGGATTTAATGTTGAGTTCAACAACTTTACACCATGAACTCTACTCTCCATTTTAATTTCCCAGAGAGAGTAGGAATAAATGGGTCATTCTCGCTTTGGCAGACTGTGACAGGTGGGGTACTGCAAGGATCGGTGGTTGAACCTCAGCTGTTCAAAATCTATATCAATGATTTTGATATGGGGACCAAATATAATATTTTCAAATTTGTGAATGGTGAGTGGGAATATGTATTGTGAGGAAAATGTAAAGCAACTTTAGGAGAATTTGGATAGGCTTAGTGAATGGGCAAGAACATGGCAGCTAGAACTTAATGCGGAAAAACGTGACATTATCTACTTTGGTAGGAGAAACAGATGTGCAGAGTATTTTTTTTAAATGGTAAGAAGTTGGAAAGTGTAGGTATACAAAGGAACCAAGGGGTAAAGGCTAACACAGCAAATTATTAGGACAGTTAATGGAATGTTAACCTTTATTGCAAGGGGTACAAGAATAGTGAAGTCTTGCTTCAATTGAATAGGGTCTTGGTTATATTGCAGCTGGAGTACAGTTGTGCAATTTTGATAGCCTCATTTCAGAAAAGATATTATTGCCATTAAGGAAATACATCCAAGGTTCACCAAACTTGTTTCCCAGATGACAGGATTGTTGCATGAAGACTGGGGCAACTGGTCTATCTTCTGTAGGTTTGAAGAATGGAAGGTTATCTCATTGAAACTTATTAAATACTTAAAGGCACAGTGAGATAGATGCAGGCAGAATTTTACCCTAAGTGTTCAAAATGTTGAACAGTTTTCACAAATGATGGGTACATGAATATCTTTTATCACATCCCTCTTGCTTTATTAGACCAGTTCCAGACTCGCATGGTTTTTTGTTAGCTTTATTGTAAAAATTGCTTTGAATAGGGCAGTTCCCAACAAAGTCGATTGTGACGTGTACCTAAGTCTTAATAATTTACAATATTTGTTTTTGTAGGCATGGTTTACAATGTGACACCATATTTGGAATATCACCCTGGAGGAGAGGAGGAGCTCATGAGAGGTGCAGGAGCTGATGGAACAGTATTATTTGATCAGGTGAATTTGTTGGAGATTATTTTTCAAAATTGGACTGAAATTGGATGTGAGTTTTGTTTTTTGTCAGTCGTTATTACTACGTGTTGCAAAGAAAATTTGAGATGCCATCTTTCAAATTGCAGTCTGATTTATCACCATTTTATTTGTAATTCAAATGTTCAATTGATGTAATGTTTGACCCTTCTGGAGATTCTATAGCCTCTCCTGAACATGCTATCTTGTCACTAATGCACATTCACTTTTAATTAAATGAGCTTGTGCAGATTAATAAACCAATTTGTTCTTGTCATTATATTCAATCTGTAGGAGTTGCCATTTCCACATTGAAAGTGCTGTTTGACAATCCAATGTTGATTTCTTTTTCAATTTAAAAAATTTAAATTATCATGATAGAACATTCAAAACTATTTCTATTTTATAAATGTGATATCGTTAACCTAATAATGAATTTTTTTTTTCTTTTGTTTTATTTTGGTCTTGGCCTACCAGACACCATTGTTGCCTCAGTTTACAATGCCAAATGCTTGTCATGTGATAGCATCAGTGATCATGACCCATAGTTTGGGAACCCCATCATTACAATGTCTGAGTCAGTAGATGCAAAGTCAGGCTACACTTAGGCAGTCCCACTGAATACAACCCTGAGTAACAGTTCTGAATTCTAGGTTGACATCCACTGATAACATACCCAAGTAGATTTAGGTGGTCGTTGTATGTGGATGAGAGTCATAAATCCTCCTGTCGTGTAAGAATAACTAAACTGATGTGAAGATTATCAGGTTTTAGAGTGTGCAATTGTGTAAAAACCAGCAATCCACTGTTTCAAATTCTTCTTTTAAGTACTAGAAAGCAAATGCATTTTTCCATCTTCGAATGCATAAAAAAATTTTTACCTCTTAGCAATCTGACAGTATTGTGATGAAATTAGTATTCTTGTACTATATTTTGAGAATGTAGATACATTTTGATTTAAGAAAGTAAATTTTATTACGAACATAGAGAATGCGGAGAAACTCAGCACGTCTGGCAGCATATGTGGAGAAAGAAACAGAGTTGATATTTTTGAATCTGGTATCACTCCTCTTCAGAAGAGTCCATATCAAATAACTGAAAGTACTGTTCCTCTATGGGAGATATCTGTCTTGAATAGGTACTGTATGTCAGTGCCAATGCACATAAAGTAATAAAGATTTCCTTGCACTGTAGTTCATCATTATGAGCCCAGACAAAACCACCAAATTTAGTTTATGATCACTGGTCAGGGATGAATAATATTTCTTATTGTTTACATTTGTTACAATTTGAAATCACTGGGACTTGCTAAGAGAATAAAGCCACAAAATTCCACAGTTTTGAACAAACAAAACTCTCCAACTCCGACATCCTCAACAACAGCTCATGTATTGATAGTTTGGTCTATTCTCCTGAGACCAAGTTTCCAGAGGATTCCTGAAACTGCTCCAAAGCACCTAATTTCAGCTTTCATCGAACAGCTAGTTTCACTAAGCTACTGCTGAATTCCTCTAAGCTCCAATCTTTCAAGCTACATCAAGCAAATACTACTTGTGGGCTTCCTTCAGTCTCAGCTGCACTGAACTGTCAATGGCTTCCAGGCACTTCTCCTGACCCAGCTGCTTAGAGTCTGCTAATGTGGCTGAAACCACTTGTTTGCTTTCACAAATTCAAACGTCAACAAACCTGCAGGCAGCCACACTCCGATAAATTGAATCCAGAGGTCTTTTCTTAAGCTCCACTTATCTCATTGACAATATAGCCTATTAGAGACGCTTTAACGTAATCTTTATAGGGTTTATTGAAATCTTGACTTTTGAAAATAGCAAATGTAAAGACTGAGGAATAGGAGCAGAAGTAGACCATTTGGTCCCCCAAGCCTTCTGCACCATCCAACACAATTTGCTCTGTCAGTTCTATTTGCATGGTCACTCTTGATATCACCTGATCAAAAATCTATTGATCGCTTTTGAATATACTGATTGGAGCCTTCACAAGCTCTGTGGTTCACAATTCCAAAGAAAAGAGATGATGTGCAGTAAAAGGTTAAGATGCACTGCACCTGTTTCTATCTACAACAGCACCCCCTTTTCTATCTCTTTGCTGAGTGCTTACATGTTTGCATCCATCTTGAGATTCTATGATGTCTTCATAAAAAAAATCAGCCATTTTTTTGTAATCATTCTCAGGATATGGATGTTGCTGGCATTGGTGACGTTCATCGCCCATCCCTTGTCGTCATGAAAAGATAGTGCTCGACTTGTTTCTTTGCATTTCAAATCATAGAATAGAGTCATAGAATCCCTACAGTGTAGTTAGAGGCCATTTGGCCCATAACATCTGCATCAACTGTCTGATGAGCATCCCAGCAAGACCCACCTATCCATGTAACCCCACATTTACCATGGCTAACCTACCTAGCCTACACATCCCTGGACAACACAGGTAAATTACCATGGCCTATCCACCTAACCTGCATGTCTTTGGATTGTGAGAGGAATCTAGAGCGCCTAGCAGAAACCCACGCGACACAGGGTAAAAATGCAAACTCCACACGGACAGTCACCCAAGGCTGGAATCAAACCCAGGTCCCTGGCACTGAGGCAGCAGTGTTACTCACTGTTTCCTTACTAGGTTACTTCAATAGGCAGTCCCTGGGTTGCAAATGAGTTCCATTCCTGAGGACATTCGTAAGTCAATTTGTACACAAATTGGAACACAATACCATACGTGATAAAATATCACGTGTCTGATTGTCCTTAAAATTAATCATATGGGATCACGTTCGTGAGTGCGAACATTCATAAGTCAGGAACCACCTGTACTATAGTCAAGTACAAATCCAATGGGGTTAAATGGCAGATTTGCTTCCCTAAAAGACACAAATGAACCAGATCAGGAAAAAAACAGAATATTTTTGTTTTGTAGATTTAATTACCTGAAAATAACCTGTTCTAATTAAAACATGTAAATTTCAACAAAGATGAATTTGCCTGTCTTGCTCATCATCCAAATATTTAAAAATTCATTTTCACATTATAATTATATTATACATATAATAATGCAGTCACTACACTAATAATGTGTCTCCAATAGTCCCCTTTCAAAACAATGAATTCCTGAAACTACAGTATCCCAATGATACAAGCGTTAGCACTTAGTATTTTTTGTCAGACTACTCAACTGTAGAACTTTTTAACACCTCTCATAAATCTCGTCAATCCTTTATGTAATCAGAGGTGTACAATCATAAGATAATACAGCACAGGGGAGGCTTTTTGGCACTTTGGTAGAGCTATTCAATTAATCCTCTTTCTCTGCTGTTTATCCATATCCTGGAAACATTTTCCTGTTAAGTACCTATCCAACTTTGTTTTGAGTATTGTCATTCTACCTGCTTCACTACCTTTCCAAGCCTGGACTCCAAATGACGGCAACTCACTCTCTGTACATAAAGCAACTTTGTACTTTTTTGTCAATTGGCTTGCATTGTCTGTGTCTGTATGGCAAACAGCTTCTTGTTATTTATTTTCTCAGAACCTTTTATAATGTTGATTTCCTTCAAATTTCCTCTGACAATTGTAATTATATTCAAGAAAAGAGATCAACCTTGCTGTCAAGATAAGTGATTACAGATGCCTTTAACCTGTACTGTCTGTGTGTCTGTTTAATGCTCTTTGAAAGCCTCACGTCGCTCACAAGTAGAGCCTGCTTCCCCAGAAATTTAAAATAAATTAACTCCACTCACTCCATGTTACCTCTTCAAACAACTCCAGCATGTTGAACAAAATTTTTCTTCATCAAATCCATTTTGAATTAATCTACATTTTTCCATATGACTATTAATTCTATTGCTAAGAATTGTTTCTTGAAGTTTCCCCACCTCTGAAGTTAACTGACTGGTCTATAATTGCTGGGTGGATTCTTACAACCTTTTTGAACATGAGCATAATGTTTGTAATTCTCCAGTCCTCCAGCACCACACCTGAATTTGGAGAAAATTGAAATGTTATTGTTAACGCCTCTGCAATTTCCACTCTTACTTCCTTCTATTAGTTCCTTCCAAATCCTTGGATGCATCTCATCCAATTGTTTAACAACTCTAAGTGCCAACAGCTTATTCAATACTGCCTCCTTACTAATTTTAAATCTTTCTAATGAGTGTGTTTCCTCCCCTGCCATCATGGCCTGGGCAGCGCCTGTGTCATATGTAAAGTATTAATTGAACTACTTAGCCATGCCTGTTGCCTCTAACTGTGAATCCAAGTTTTAGTCCCCAGTTGGTCCTACTTCTCCTTTTACTACTTTTTTATTATTAACGTGCATACACAGACAGTCCTTGGTACAAATGGGCTCTGTTCCTGAATATATTTGTAAGTCGATTTGTACTAATTTGGAACACAGTACAGTATAAAATATCCATTTGTAAGTACGACCAAATGTTTGCATGTTGGTTCCTTAAAATTAAAACTAAAATGGGATTTCATTCATAAGTACAAACATTCGTAAGCCAGGGACCACCTGTAGAGGATTTTGGGATTTCCTTTTATGTTAACTACTAGTTATCTCTTTCATAATCTGTCTTTGCTTCTCACTTATTGTTTCCATCTCCCTACTGCACCTTCCATAGTCAGCTTATTCTGAACTGTATTTACTACCTAACGCCTGTCATAGGAGTTGGCAAAGATACATTAACAGAAAATTTTATCTGTCTCAGTTGTTGAACTTTTTTAGAAGACATGAAAGAGAGGGTTGATGGGGGGGGAAGGCTGTTGGAGTGTACATGGACTTCCAAAAGGTATTGGTTACAGTGCCCCACAACAAAATTGAGAGGAAATTTATAGGTCATCGAAGTAAAGGGAGAGTAGTAACATGGCTACAAAGTTGGCTGAGGGATAGGAAACAGAGACTCATTTTTTACGTGTACTTTCAGGCTGAATGTAGGTTTGCAGCAGAATTCCACAGGGGTTTGTGTTGGTACCTCTATTTCTCCTGATATGTGTTAATAATCTAGATCTTGGTGTGTCGCAGACAATTTCAAAGCCTGTGGACTATGCAAAATTTGGGAGAATTGTAAACTGAGGAGGACAGCATAGACATTCAAAAGGACATTGACACTTTGTTGGAATGGATGGATAAATGGCCGATTGTTCATTTCAGAGAAGTGAGAGGTGATGCATGAGAGATACAAAGAACATGAAAATATGGTATAAACTAAAGGATAGTATTCTCGGGGTTGTGCAGCAGCAGAGAAACCTCCGTGACTCCCTTGTCCGCTCCACACTCCGCTCCAGCTCCACCACACCCGGCACTTTTCCCTGCAACCGCAGGAAGT